ACGGCCTTGCCAACATCTGCTATTTTTTTATTTTATTAACAAAAGTCGTTCTGACTGGTGTGAGATGGTATCTTATTGTGGTTTTGATTTGCATTTCTCTGATGATTAGTGATGTTGAGTATTTTTTCATATATTTATTGGCTGCTTGTGTATCTTCTTTTGAGCAGTATCTGTTCATGTCCTTTGCCCACTCTTTATGGGATTATTTGTTTTTTGCTTGCTAATTTAAGTTCCTTATATATTCTGGATATTAGACCTTTACTGGATTCATAGTTTGCAAATGTTTTCTCCCATTCTCTAAGTTGTCTGTTTACCTCCTTGATAATTTATCTTGCTGTGCAGAAGTTCTTTAGTTTAATTAGATCCCAGTCATCAATTTTTGGTTTTGTTGCAATTGCTTTTGAGAACTTCGACATAAATTCTTTGCCAAGGCCAATATCAAGAAAGGTATTTCCTAGGTTTTCTCCTGGGATTGTTGTAGTTTGAGTTAACCTTTAAATCGAGGTAAGCATGTCTGCAGGTTACTTCATAATGAGCTTTTACCAAACTTTGCCACTGTATTTGAAGAGCATCAGGACTTTTCCTTACAGAAAGCTGGGACATTCTGAAGAATTCTGAAACAATTTATACTTAATTTAAAGTTCTAGAGGCCGATTTTCCAATTTCTTATTGCCCTATTACCAGCTCTTCAAGGGCTGCTCACTCTCATCCCAGCGACTTCTTCCTCCTGAGTTAGTAAGATGACAAGAGGATAAAGTGAGAGTCAAAGAACTTCTTCGTCTTCTGGAAACTTTGGGGTGATTAACTCTGCTCTTTTGCCAAATATTTATGGATCCAAAGATTTACAGAGCACCTACTAAGTGATGAGCCCTGTAAATACAACAGTCAACAAGGCCAAATTGCTGCCTCAAGCAAGGAGGTGACAATCCTGCTGAAGTAGGATTTGAGGGCATCCCAAGTGCCTGGACATATATTAACCCCCACAATGTTGACAGCAACCCATGAAGTAGTTAGGCACTATTATTACTTTCATTTTGCAACTAGGGAAACTGAGGAACTTGTCCAAGGCTGCAGAGCAAGTTAGTGACAGAGCTAGGGTACAGGCTCAAGTATGAGGCTCCAGAATCAGACTTCCATGTCCTGAACCATAATCTATACCAACTCCTGCCTATTATCTACTGATGCAAAAAAAAAACACTGCAGACAATACAAATTGCATTTGTTCACAATTCTGCATGTGAGAAATTGGAGCAGGAAATAGTAGAGACAGCTCATCTCTGTTCCACATCCGTAGTTCAGCTGGGATAACTCAAATGACTTGAAACAGGCTACATGCTTGAGACCTTTGTTCTCCTTCATGTGGCTTCTCCATGAGGCTAGCCTGGGCTTCCCCAGAGCATGGTGGTCTACAGTTCCAAGGGGCAGCATGCCAATTGCAAATGTGTATCAAACTTCTGCTTACATCAAACTTGCAAATTGGCCAAAGCAAGTCACATGGGCTGAGCCCAAAATCAATATGGGGGAGGTAAGGGATGAACCCCAGGAATTATGGTTCACCTGGGGCCACCGATGTAATGTCTTACTGCAGTAGACAAGTGGGACATAAAAGTGGGATGAGAATAGCAGGTCTTGGCTTAGGGTTTCTGCTTCTTCATTTTCCTGTATTTCCTTTTACAACAGTATGCTCCCTACAGAAAAAGGAGCTTAAAGCTAGTGCATATTACATGACAAATAGTGAGAAAGTAGCCATCCAGCCTCAGAGACAGTTGTCATTTTAGGAGACAAAGGGCAGTATCAATCAATTCACAAACTGACTTGGTTTTCACCTCATTTGATTCACCTCATTTAGATAAACCACAGAATGCTAAGTAAGTTAATGGAAAGTTTTCCTGAAAATACTAAATTTCCAGATTTCGAAGCACACTAGGTCAGTTGTAATATTTGCCATTAATAAGATAAGGTAGATAAAAATCTGTGCATTTAGCAAATTTGTCACTCAATGAAGTATGATTGGAGGACCAACGTGTAAGGAGGAAGCAGTATACGCCAAGAAGTGAAATAAATAAACAAAAAAAAACAGATAAATACCAGGTTGTTAAGACACCAGTTTCTAAAATAGGAAAATCCTTTTCTGAGATGCTAAATGAAGGCCTTGAAAAACTACCCAAGTATCCTTTCTTGGCTCAGAAAACAATAGAACCACCTAGAAATTTTGGTCCCATTAGTTCTAATCCTACTTCTTTTCCCATCTGATCCTGATGAATCATTTATTTTTCCACTGCTTTGTTTTCACAGTTTTAAGTAATCACTGACTGGGAAAAAAAAAATCCCAACTTTTAATTCTAAAAGCAGTTTGGGGCCCTATTTCTTACCTAAAACCAAAGTTAACCATAGGGTAGCAGATAACTTAACCATGTTTGGTTTTTCTCACACAGGTATATTTTTATCATTGCTAGGACCATCATTTTAGCATATGAACTAATACATATGTACATCTACCTACATTGTATATTTATGAGTATGGACTTGTATTTATTCTGTTCTGAAGTATAACTGAAGTCACATGAGGTAATGTGAATCAAAGATGTAAACCAGGACACAGAATGATCTGTTTGTGTTTAGAAATCACTTGCCCCAGTACAATCATGCAGAAATAAAAGTACACACCCTTCAAAATATGAAACAGTTGAGTTCAATTATGTTTACCCTCAGCCAGTTAATTAAAAAGAGTTTGCTTGATGATGTCACTATGTCACACTTGGGATTAAATACATCAGAGGAATCAGACAAAACGTGGCAGCCAGAAGTTCTGGGGCTGAAGGGAGATGTGATGGTATTTTGCAGAAAGTGTTCCCAGATCAGTACAAGAAATTCTCCAAGTCAGTTTTAACCACTAACTCTTGTAATGTGAGAGTTGGTCACCAGTAATTTCATAGAAGATTATTCTTCACCAACAGAGTTCCCTTTAGAAACTGTGATCTGTTGTGATTTAAGACTCTTGAAATACAAAGGAAATGTGCAATTTGTGCAAGAGCCTTGGACTCTGTACATCTGGAAATGGAGATGTGTCTAAGGTTACAATGTCAGTTTTCTACAGTTCAATTAAGAGGGGCAAAAAGTACACACAGGGTGAGGTGAATCTTAAGGGTTTCCTGGTGTTCTGACAAATACCTAGGCACAGCATTGTGGAAAGGTCTAAATCCACTGGAGAGAACATTGTAATTTATGTCTATTAGGAAGTAGGATAACCCTTGCTCTACCAGAGCAGTGTACACCTTACAGAACTTCCATGTATGTGACCTCATCTGATACACGGCCCCATGCTTGAAAGTGGGCATTAGAATGTCCCCATTTTGAGGTAAAGAACACAGGATAAAAGAATTTTAAGTGACTTGTCCAAGGTCACACTCTAGTGAATGGCAGTGCTACAACTTGATTCCCAGTCACCATGATGGTGGTCTTTCTGCCGAACACAGAGCCTTTTCCTACCACCTCTAGCTCCTTGCAGTTCTTAAAAGTGTTCTCAAAAGACCATCACTAGTTGGGCATGGTGGCTCATGCATGTAATCCCAGCACTTTGGGAGCCCAAGACAGGCAGATGGCTTGAAGTCGGGAGTTTGAGACCAGCCTGGCCAACAAGGTGAAATCCTGTCTCCACTAAAGATACAAAAATTATCTAGGTGTGGTGGCCCATGCCTGTAATCCCAGCTACTCAGGAGGCTGATGGACAGGAATCCCTTGAACCCAGGAGGCGGAGGTTCCAGTGTGCTGAGATCGCACCACTGCACTCCAGCCTGGGCGAAAGAATGAGACTCTGTCTCGAAAAAAAAAAGAAGAAGAAGAAAGAAGAATAAAGAAAAGAAAAGGAAAAAAAGACCATCCTCATTTCTGAAAACTCTTGACTCCCATATTTATTCAATTTCCCATATCTATGCAGTAGGGATAAGTATTCTCAGAGAGATGTAATACTTTAAATAACTTCATAATGCTGTATGTTCTACAGGAACATTGGGGCAAGTTGAATTAGAGGGACTGACTATTCAAGTCTTGTATAACTTTAAGATGCAGAGTTCTTGACCTCACTGGGTCAAAGTTTTCTCATCAGTACAGAAGGTTTCAACTGAAAGATTTCTGAGGCCCATTCTGAGCCTAATATTCTATGATGATAGTTATAATCCCTAAAGTTTCTTTGAGTTATGATAGCTCAACTCCATTATATATTCCCCTCTCTGCCTTACCCACAGAGCTCATTTTAGTTCAGGGCAGCAATAGGCCCAGAAAACAAAGCTCTCTTATATTTAGGAGTGGTCAGTGATGTAATTCTGACCAATGAGAATTACTCTACTCTAGTCTCTATTCCAGCCAGAAATAACTGCTATCAAGATGCTTTCCCTCTTGGGAGAAGCTGTTTAGAATTGGGCTTCTCAAGAGCAAAGGGAAGGGAGCCCACATTTCTAACTGCCCACCTCGCTAGTTGCCTTATATATGATAGCCCACTCAATGTGACCCTCACAACCACCCTATTATTCTCACGTTAGAGATGAAGAAAAGGAGATGCAGAGAAACTAACTACTTTGCAGGCATCAGAAAGCCATTATCAGTAGAGCTAGGATTCAACCTGTTTGCCTTCAAAGCCCCTGTTCTCTTTCCACAGAGCTATTTGACAACAGACAAGCTAAAGATCAGAAATACAAACAAAATGAAACACTTTCCCCTAAATAAAAGAAAACATAGCCTGGAAAGGTGAAATTATTAGAATATGAATACTCACAGGATTGAAAGACTATAGATTTTGTGGTGCGATGTTTCCCAACCTGTCCAGGGGAAATGCCGGGAAAAGGCATTATCTGTGAGGCCAGAGGCCAAGGTTCTGGTCCTGGCTCTTTTGATATTTGAGGAAATTTATTTTTAGATGCCATGATCTAAATAAGTAGTAGTTCTGCCTACAGACTAGAAAATCATGGCCACAATAATAGCAGCTCACATTCTAGGGTGCTTACCTTGCTCCAGGCTCTGTACCCAGCACTATATTTGGCATTGCCTCATCTTCATCCCGTGATAACCTTAACAAGAGAGCATATGATTATCCTCATTTTGCAGGTAAGAAAACCAAAGCACATAAAAGTGATGTGGCTTCCCCCAGCCTACATGTCAAGTGGCGGAGCTGGGGTGCAAACCCAGGAGTCTGATTGCAGTGCCCAAGCACTTTGCCACCATGTACACCTACTGTGTATGTGGCTAGACAAACAAGCTAATCCAAAAAGCAGATTAGGGAAGAAAGACTCCCCTTATCAAACACCAAATGCCCTCAACCAAGGGAAAGTTCTACATGGTGCCTTTATTGTATTATCCAACTTTCTTCAAAAACTGGCTCTCCCAGAGGTTGCACTTGAGTATCTGAACATTTTGGACAAAGTACCTGCTGTGACCACACACACCTGCATTGAACAGAAACCCAACATCAATGGTATAACTAAATCAGGGTCTGTTTCTCTTGCATATCAAGCACTCCAAGGCTGCATGGCTGCCACACTGACTTGAGGACCTGTAGGATGGGTTTCTCTTGGCTTTCCAGGCTGCCACCCTTAAGAGCATTGCTTTCATCCTCTTACTTGAAAGACGGATGCTGTAGTTCCTTACACCATTCAATATGGAGTGATTGCCACGTGTAGCTATTTAAGTTTAAATTATTTCAATAAAATTAAATTAAAAATTCTGCTCCTCAGTCACACTAGCCACATTTAAAGTGCTCCATGGACACAGGGGCTAGTGGTTACTGTATGGACGGTGTCAATGGAGCACATTTCCATCATCGCAGAGGTCTATCAAAGAGTGCTGCTCCAGACAGCACATCTGCAAGGGTAGCAGGAAGATGAGGAAGGAGAGAAAGCAACTGAGTGCTGAAGCCGTTCCTTTTTAACAAGAAAACAATAACTTTCCTGGCATCCTCAACCAGCAGAATTTTGCTTTCCTCCCATTGGTCAGAATTACATCACTGACTACTCCTAAATATAAAAGAGCTTTGTTTTCTGGGCCTGTTGCTGCCCTGAACTAAAATGAGCTCTGTGGGTAAGGCAGAGAGGGGAATATATAATTAGCCACATAAGTAGCTGTCTTTTTCCAGCCTCAACATCACGTGTAAGTCCAGCTTTAAACGATGGTTGGGTTTATCAAAACAGAATGGACAAGCCAGGTCATAAACATCTGTCTTTGGACAGCTGTGGGGCCAGGGCATGCAAAGGCATTGAGTACATGATTGCTGCCACCTGGCAGCTCTTTCCATGGGTGAGTGGACAATGAAGCAGGAAAAACAAAATCAAGAAAGAAGGTATCTGTGTCTAGGCTCTGTGTCTAGCCTGTGGGGCCTTCACCATGTTGGAGTTCCAGGAAAACAGACGGCAGTGGGAAAAAGGAGTGGTCCTTATGTGGGGAAAAGGATGCTTGTGGTTTGCCCTACTGAACAATGTGGGCAGGGCCACCCAGCAGTAAACTTAGCTCAAGCTACATGGGCAATGGCCACCTTCTCTGAGGTCACCATGTGGCCTGCTATCACCATGATGAAAGACTTTCATAAGGAGATGAGCATTTTAACTGGGCTCTGGCTGTGTGTGGCATAGGAAAATTTGCCTAATGGATCCAATAGCAGGGATAGCTCTCAGGACCCCAGTGGACAAAGCCCTAAAACCTTATAGTAACAAATTCAAGTTTGAGTGGTGTAATGATGGGAGGTAACAAACATGTAGCAGCCTGTGCAGGCACAAAAGGAAAGTTTCTTGAGATTACAGCAAACAAAAGGTGGAGTCGATAGTTGGGAAAACACAAATAAACTTTGCTTCAACAATTTGTCTCTGGCCCGTCTTACAGAAAGATAGAAAATAATTATACATAAACATATAAAGGAAAAAGACAACAAACTTACATCTTCCTGTTTATTGCTACTACTCCTTTGACTGACTTCAGTTTTTCAAAAATGTTTGTTTTTGCTCTTGGTAAAACAAAAGGATGACTTAGTTTAAAATGCATCGGGAGAAAACCAGAACAATGTGTTTGCCCCAAGTAATTTCCATGAGGAAAAGTTATGATACCTCTTAGTTCCTTCATCTCTAACAGATGCAAACCTATCCCCAAAAAGACATCTGGAGGCTGGAACACCAAACTGATAACACAGGATCGGTGATTATATTGGTGACTATTTCCAAATGAGGTGATGGCAAAGAGAAGTTTGCATTTGGACAATAAAAATCTATTGTTATCCAGAACTTTTAGTAAATAAATACCCAGCCCTGAAAGAGTGACTCAGTGTGAGTTGAGGGTTGGGGAGTAGAAAGGAAGGGTTTCTGCCAACCTCTAAAACTTGGAAAACATAAAATATTTAGCTGACCTTAAAGAGACAGAAGCCCCAGTACTAAAGCTTAGACCTACGGCCAAGGTCATAGTTGCTGAATAAGGTAGAGATTGATTCACTTACTCAGATGTATTCGTTTTCTGGGGCTGCCATAATAAATATCATATACTGTGTGACTTAAGCAAGAGAACTTTATTGTCTCATCGTTCTGCAGGCCAGAAGCCAAAAATCTCAAGCAAGGTGTTGGCAGGGCTAGTTCCCTCTAAAAGGCACTATAGAATCTGTTCCATGCTTCCCTCCTAGCTTCTGGTAGTTTACTGGCAATTTGGCATTGCTTGGCTTGTGGCAACAGACCTCCAATCTTTACCTGGCATTCTGCCTGTGTCTGTGTCCAAATTTCTCCTTTTTATTTTATTATTTTATTTTATTTTATTTTTGAGATGGCGTCTCACTCTGTTACCCAGGCTGGAGTGAAGTGGCATGATCTTGGCCGTGGCTCACTGCATCCTCCGCCTCCCAGGTTCAAGTGATTCTCCTACCTCAGCCTCTCAAGTAGCTGGCATTATAGGCATACGCCACCACGCCCAGCTATTTTTTTTATTTTTAGTAGAGATGGGGTTTCACCATGTTGGCCAGGCTGGTGTCAAACTTCTGACCTTGGGTGATCTGCTCGCTTCAGCCTCCAAAAGTGCTGGGATTACAGGCGTGAGCCACTGGACCTGGCCCAAATTTCCCCCTTTTATAAGGACAACAATCATATTGGATTAGGGCCTACCTTAATGACCTCATCTTCACTTGATCATCTGCAAAGACCTTATTTCCAAGTAAGGTCACATTCACAGGTACTGGGTATTAGGATTTCAGCCTCTTCTTGTGGGACACAATTGAAGTCATAACAACAGTTTACCCTAGCCAAAGAGTACTTCACTTCATTTTGTCACTGTGGACGGGACTATGTTAAAGGAAACTTGATGGTGCCACTTTTGTTCCTGGGAAATTACTAACACAGAAAACCAACCCCTGTAATTTTCTGGGTGTTTTCAAGCTTCAATCATTTTCTTTATAAAATTGAAAACGTATTGTTCCAATGTTGTATTCTATATTAGAAATTTCCAATGGCTTTTTCTACCTCCTCCACTTTCTACCCATTCCAGATATCAAGGTCTTGGATTTACCATCCGCTCCTGACAGCACACTGGTTCAAAAGTTTAGTATCTTCCTTAATCCCATTCAAAAACTGGGGAGTCTGGAAACTCAATTCAAGGCAATAAACTTTTATCAAGAAGCTCACTGTGCCAGATATTATTCTGGGGATTTAAATGCAAGCTCCATGAGTTTACCATTTTCATACTGCTAAAAGGATGGTCCAGTATGGCTGTCATTGTTGACTCAATTGTTCTCCGCCCTCACGAGGGGATGAGCACAGAGAAAGGTAAGGAGCTCTCCTTTTAAACAAGTTGCTGCATTTTAGGGAAGCAACAGATTTAGGGAAATTGGGTGATTTCATTTTACGGCCCAGAAATTCCATATTCTCAACCCCAACCACACATTAATATGTTTTTCCTTTCCTGCTACTTAGTCTGTTCCCAAGGGTTCTAGAACATAGATTGGAACTGCCTTCCCTTTACCATACTCTCTTCATTTCCTACCCTCCCCACCCCTGAAATAAATGAGAGAAAAATATTCAAAATTCTTTTCTGTAAAAAAGCCAAGAGACCATGGTCAAACGAGTGTTTTAGGAGCTGGTGATTGTCAATCATTATTCTCCTTTCAAAGCTAAATGATCTCAATTCCTTCAACCTCTTTTTCCTCATCTTATTTTATAACCTTCTGATTATCTGTGTTGCTCTCCTGGACTCTGTTTTAATTCTTTTAAATTTTAGAGTTAAAACCTGGATGCTTAATTGACGAAGAGCTGAATACCTGTGAAGAATGCTGGAAAGAGCACTAATAGATGCTATGAGATGCGGGGGGTGGATGGATGTGGAATACACACAGTACAAGAATGTAAAATGCCTGAGAAATGAAACACCCGCCATAAGCGCCACATAGCCCTGGCGCTAATTGGACAGGTGTCTTCCAGAAATAGCGGCATGCTATAAAAGGTGCAGGAAATGTTAGCGCTGTCGTCTTCTCTGTCACGAACAGCCTTGTGTCAGCGGGGTTTGGGCAGCTTACCAGAAGGATGTCGGTGGCATGACAGGTGAGCTCATGGTCCTCTACTTACAACATAATCACGTTTGCTATGTGACAGCGATTCTGCTACATGGTTCATAGGGAGGTTTGTCAGTCTTGTCGAGGGCTCTCCAACAAGCAACTTGGAAATGAGTGGCGGTGAGAATGTGTCACTGCTGATGCCATCCTGCTGCAAAATCCTTTGGCTCTGAGACACTATCACAGGCTTAAATTGCATTCTGCAAAGTCTTTTGTGTGCTACTTACTAGAGTCTCACTGCTTTCCAGGCCTACCTTTCCTTGTGCACTCTGAGCCTTGTGGGGACCTGTTTTCTTTCTCCCTGGCCAGTGAGCCTAGGTCCATCCCTCTCGTCCCCAGTCCTCCACTGGGGAGCTGGCAATGGAGGGCTGGGGACAAAGAACCTGCTGAAGACACCACTTCTTATCTTCACTGATCCTGGTATATTTACTTCCTCATTTATTTCCCAAGGTGTCTCTTCATCTTGCTAGTCTTACTCTAATTTCATCCTATCCTCAATACAAATGGTCAAAAATGATTAAAATGTCATCTTCAAAGTCTACTCTTTTTATTTAAACCACCCCTAGTTTATTTTCTATCTTTCTTCCTCTCTCCCATCTCCATCTTATCCCTATACTCCTATACCCACACTCCCCTCCTTCTCAGCATGCGCGTGCGCGCACACACACACACACACACACACACACACCCCTTCCCTTCGTCATGCAATCATTTCGTTCCCTGATTTAGGTCCCAGAGAAACAAAATCTACCTAGTTTTAATCTCCTGTAGCAATCCATTCAAATATTATCCCTAAGTATTCAGGGTTTATTTTGTCATTGTAATCTAGACTGGAGAATAGATTATCCAAACACATGCAAACTCTTCTTTTCAAGCATTCTAATTTGTAAGCAGTGAACGGGGTGGATGAGGGAGACGGAATCTTGAGTAATAACAGAAAATTTCATGGAAATCCCCAGACGTTGCAGGGAGCAAATACGAAATATAATCAACTCAAGCAACAAACAGGATTTACTGGGAGAACAAAGGTTATGAGAAAGGCTGCACTTATTTTTCATGATACAAACAATTCTATTGACTCTTTAAGTTTTCATTCCAAGACCTTTCAATATCATTCAGTATTTGATGAAGATAAAATGTAACAGGGTCACATGTCATGTCACTTATGATAACTTAGCATTATGGTTGGTTGGGAAATAACACCAGGCATATGAGGCTCACAAATTTGCTTGCTATAAATCCCCAGCACCTGTTTATAATGCACCTTTACTGAGAAAATAGCTCCAATAACATTATATAGCATGGTTCATGAATGCTATTAACCATCCCTATTGCATGTTACAAATTTAAAAGGTTTTTAACTTTACAGAGAATCCATAGGTTTATGAATTGAAAGCCACTAATATAAATCATCCTTGGTAATGAAAAGCGAAAAAAGGCATGATATAATTTCTATTTGTCAAGGTATAATGATGTCACCATCCATTTATCCTCTGCACTTAAAGGTTGAAGCTATTCAACAAATCTCTCCTCAGCCAAATACATCTGGTACCTTAATGGAGGCCACAGCACAGGCTTCTGATTAGTTCACACATCACTCACCAATTAGAATAGAAGGTAAAACTTTTTTTTCTTATCTTGAGCAATTCATTAGAACAATAACCTTTAATGTAGTGACTAATAGTGGGAACGTAAAAAAATAACTGTGTTATGGCTTTAAAATGATCTTTTTGAAGGTCATGCTTATACACCGCTGGTAGGAATGTAAATTAGTACAACCTCCATGGAAAACACTATGGAGGATTCTTTAAAAACTAAAAGTAGACCTACCTTTTGATCTAGCAATCCCACTACAGGGTATCTACCCAAAGGAAACGAAGTCATTATATCAAAAAGACACCTGCACACATATGTTTATTGCAACACAATTCACAATTGCAAAGATACGGAACCAACCTGAGTGTCCATTGACCAATACTATTCAGCCATAAAAAAGAATGTCTTTTGCAGCTACTTTGATGGAGCAGGAGGCCGTTTTATTCTAAGTGAAGTAATCCAAAAATGGAAAAACCAAAGACTGTCTGTTCATACCTATAAGTGGGAGCTAAACTATGGGCACACAAAATCATACAGAGTGGTATAATGGACACTGGAGACTCAGAAGGGGGAGGTGGGAGGTGGGTGAGAGATTTTTTTAAAACCACATATTGGGTACAACGTTCACTACTTGTGTAACGGGTGAACTAAAATCTCAGACTTCACCACTCTACAGTTTATCCACATAACCAAAAACTACTTGTATCCCCAAAACTATTGAAATTTAAAAATAAATAAACAAAATTATCTTTTTGAGTAGTTTATAAACTGCTTTGCTTCTGGAGGTGCTATTTTTATCTCAGTCACTGCTTTAATTTATTGTTTCTTTAACCAATAATTCAATTCATCACTAAAAAGACAAAATATGGGATAAGGGGCTCCTGGCGAAGTTTTATCTTAAGGATAGCATATACTTACAGGGCTGTCATGAACAGCTGGGAAGGTTGTTCTCCGTTCAAGCAAAGGCCAAGCCGAAGGGCCAGTATGAGTTGAAATACAGCCATTAATCCAGTCAACAATCCTCAGGCCCTGACATGTGTTCCATTTTCCAGGAGAATGGGGCACACGATATCACATAGATCAGTGGTAGACTTTGTACTTATGGGGTTCTAGATATCGAGTAATCTTAGGGAAAGCTGTCTTAATTCTGCCTTTATGGCTACTGACTGTCACAGGAGAATGGCTATTTGCTCTGGGGAATACCCGGCCACTCCAATTCCTCACCTAGGGCTCAATGATGGTTAATTGTGAATCAAACATGCCAAAGGACCCGGGGAAGGACCTAGCATCCCTTAAGTTCTGTCATCTGGTGGAGAAGGTCACTCCTAGCACTCCCCTGGGAGATCCATCTATTCTGGTTAGGAAAATGTTTGAGAAGTGGTTGGGGTAAAAGTAGAGTCCAAGAACTCGAATCTTCAGAAAAAGGGAAATGTTACTCCAGACATTTGAAGGGGAAAATGGGAGTGTAGCTGGAAGAGGAGGAAGGAGAATTTCTAAAAGGAAAACAGTTAGAAAAGAGAAGGGGGAGCAACATGGCAAATGCTTTATATAGTGCAATGCCACCCACTCCTATAATATCTCCCAAACATCAGTAAAGACTGGAAAAATCACGATACTTGGTACAATAGGATTCTTGCAAAAAAACAAATACAATAAAGTGATTGAATTCTGCTTCCAGGTCAAGCTAGACCCAGCAAATGAGTCTGCAGGGGCCAGAAAAACTCCAGGGATGTGCCTTTGATTTTTCCAGCCATGAAATCTGCAGTCTGAAAGCAGTCTTAGAACAGAACAGCCCCTACCCCAACATTTGCATTACACTTCCTTGTACTAAAGACAATTGCAACATAAAAATAAACCCTAAGAACTATACATGCACCATCTCACTTACTCTTCCGGGCAATATCACCAGCCAGATGGAATTATTCGTCCCATTTTGCACCTGAGGAAACTCAGGCTTATGCACCGCAGACACCAGCTTTAATTTGCCAAATGTAATGTGCCCAGAGTGACACAGTTCATAAGAAGTAGAGCTGGAATTGGTATCCAGTCCTTTCTAAATCTAGAAACCCCATTTTTTTAAAAATTGTAGTAAAATCTACATAACATAAAAGTCACCATTTTAACCATTTTAGAGTGTACAATTCATTGGCGTTTAGTACATTCACACTGTTGTGTATCCATTACCACCATCTAGATCCAGAATCTTTTCGTCATCCCAAAAGAAATAAGCAGTTCTTCTCCATTATCCCCTTCCCCAGCCCCTGGTAACCATTAATTTGCTTTCAATCCCTATGGATTTGTAGAGGTCCTGTCCTTACCCATGTGCTCTTTTGCACCCGGCACCGTGATGAAATATGGAAGAGGCCTTAGGGTGCTTGTCGCCATCCTGAACTGAATGAGAGGGACTGAGACAGAGCCGGGCAGAAAGGATATGAAGAGTAATGTGTCGCAAGAGAGGCACTTCTGATAGCTTTATTTGCGAAACCTACATTTTCAATGCCTCGGTCTCCTAGCAACATGCAGGTTAATTTAAGGATGTGAGGGAAGTAGAAAGTATCCATATCCTTAGGTTATGGAAAAGAATGATAAGATTCCCATGTATCTAGTTTGGCAAGCCATGGAGGTGAAGAAATGGAAAAATGATTAAGTGAATGTGAACATACATAGAAAGGCTTGTGAGGGAAAAGAGATGCCCTCCAGGTTATGGAAAATTATTCATGAAAGTGAGAACTTCTAAGGAACACACATGATTAAAAAGTTTTTTTTTTTCAAAACATCATTTTGCTTCCTATACTGTTTGGTTGTCTTAAAACTCAGAATCCACTGCCCTCCTGGCCGCAGGAGGGGCACAGGCTCACAGGCTATGTGCTTGTGGGTGAGCAAGCAAGGGTCCCAGACACTTGGCGGACAGCCCCCTTAAATACAACAAGATGAGAAGGCGCTGCAGCCAGGGCTTTCGACTCTTCACAATTTGCAAAACTACTGGAATTTTGAAAGCGAAGAAATTCTCTCTCTCTCTCTCTCTCTCTCTCTCTCTCTGCCCCTCCCGAACTCCCCCAGGTTCATGGATGGCTTTTGTGGTGGTCATCTCCACTGGGACCGCTATTCAGGGCACTCCAAGAGTTACTCTATGTAAGTTTGTGTAAAGTTGAAACATAAACAGACATCTTATTCTTGACCAAAGTAAAAAGCTCTCCCAACGCTCACTTGATTCCCAAAAACTCTGGTCCCCTTACTTTTCCCCACAGTTTTACTCTCGGTTCAAACTAAGCTACATTCTTAGGACACAGGTTTTCAACTTCTCTAAGAGAATACGACCCTCTGATTCCACCTTCTATCTCTTCATTGTCTTCTGCCCAACACACAGAAATCCCCGGGTCTCGCGTGTCTTCGGTCCCTTCAGCTGTGGCTGCCTGCCCTCCAATGCTGCAAATCAGCCTAAGAACAGCTTCCACCTAGGAGTGAGAGAAGAGAGGAGCATAAGTTCCAGATGGGGTATAGGAAGTTGGGAGGAAGAAAAGAAAAGGCAGCTTTTGTATGTGGTTACTCAGCACTCAGTGCTTACCTCTGCACAGGCAGGAGAGTGGACTTGATGGTGGCAGGGCCACTGTGTGGCACGTAAGCAGGCTTCTGCCAGGGAAGACCTGAATGCCCAGTGATGAAGCCCGCCCTCCTCCTGCATTACACTATCATGTGTGCCTTGTGACCCTGAGCCCTGTCCACAGTGATTGGCTTGGCTTGCCCCCTTTGCTCTGCCAGCTCTCATACACACTTTCTTTATTTCTGTAATGCATTTACAGTCTATAAACAAGGACTCATCATGGGAAACCGTTTCAAATCAGAAAGTCTTGATTCAAGTCCAACTCTGCCCGTTACCACGTGACCTTGAGTGAACCTTGTACTCTCTCTTTTAAAAATACAGACAGCAACACTTGTCCCCTCCATTTACGGCACTACAAGCATCTGATGGGATCACACATATGAAAATACATCATAAAACATACATGAACATATAGTGTCTAGTTATCAAGAGTCCAGGTTCTGTGCCTTCCAATGAAGTTGTGATTTCCTTACCAATATTAATTAATTAATTAATTTTAAAAAATAAACAATGACATCTCTTTCTAAACTAGTTTTTAAGCCAAACTATTTACTTTATCCCTTTGCTGTAAATAAAATTTTAAATGCCAACTTGAGTATGCCAAATAATTAAATGTAGGCAATTCTTTTCAGATGTCTGTGTCTTATTAGCCTCATCCTAAGAACCAAATTCTGACTTATCCATGATGCTATGTGGAAAAAACCACACCCAACATGGAATTTGTATGGTTAGACAGAAACTGGAATGAGTGTATCTCTTAGAGGGTTAAAGCAGGCTAAAGGCTACAAAACAACTCAGACTGAAAAGATTGCAGAAAAAAAGATGTTTATATCACTAAAGAGAACAAAATTCTTGAGCCTTCTGGAAATGCCTTTTTATGTACAATTTGTATGCTAATTATAAATTATTAGAATATATTAGATAAAGCAGTTTCCCTCAGGACCTAGTATTTGGTAAAATTTGCTCTTGAAAAACACAAAGTCAGTGAAGTATTATAAAAGCCAAAGTCTTTGCAATGGTCTCAAGAGCTTACATAGTCTGCCCCTACATGCCTTGCAATGTTCTTCCTCGTTGGGTCAGTTCTAGCCACATCAGCTGGGAATCCCTGGTGCTCCTTGATCAGATTCACCTGGAGGCCTTGGCAATGGTTGTTTCCTCCCCTTGGGGTGCTCTATCCATGGGCACCCACATGGCTGAATGCTTCCCTTCCTTCAAGTCTTTGCCCACACCCCTTCTCAACTAGGCCTACTCTGAACACACTTGTTGAATTTGCAGCTCTCCATCCTACATTCCATTTGTCTGCTCAATTTCCCATAGTACTTATCACTTTCTAACATACTAAATGATATTTCCTTATTAAATATCTCTCTCCTTGGTAGAACGTAAGCTCCACAGGGCAGAGACTTTTGTCTGTACGGTTTACTACTGTACCCCAGCACCTAGAACAGTACATAGTACGTAGACAGTCAATAAATTGTTTTGAATAAAAAGATGCTAAAAATCTTTGGTGTTTGTAACATGGGACTTCAGGAAACTATCTGGAAAGAGAGGTTTCCAGGGACATTACAAAGATCTTCTAGTAAGAAAATGAAAAACAACAGAACAGAAAAATAATGGGACAGAAAAAATAGAACAGAGAAAATGAAAAACAGTTATGGAGACAAAGAAATGGAAGCAGAACTGAGGAGGAAGATACAGCTGAGTCCCCTTTCCCTCATGGAGCCCAAGAAGGCTTTCTCCACATGCTCTATCACCACCAAGTTCAAGGTTGTTCTTTTTCAGTTTTGCTTTCTTCTAGGCTGACTGACAAGGAACTGAGAGTAGAGCCTAAAAGATCTGAAGACTTCTGAGTTGCCTGTTGGTTTCTGGAGGTCAGGGAGTGGAATAAATTGGTCAAGAGCCCAGAAGGGACCTGGTAGTGAAAGCCAAACTGGAGAAAATTCTCTCATCATCGTCAAGAGGAGGGCACCTTCACCCCAAAACAGAAAAGGATGGGAGAGGGAAGGGACTGGCTGGCTCTTTGAAGCAGTCACAGTGTTCACAGTAAACACCTTTGGGTTAATTTGGCTTATTAATATGAACCCGATCCCATGGGGCTTGCAAAGAAGATGTGTGTAGGTTTGGTAGAAGGAGGAAAGGTACAGAAAGGGGGACTGGGTTGAATGTAACTGACGTTCCTTTTTTTAACTCATTCCTAGCAGAATTGGATATTCAAAGTCTTTATCTGGACCACTGTGTTCTTCATGCGTGGACGCAGAAGTGGTACTTTTTAAACAATCTATAATTCAGCATGCCAATGCACAGGTGAGTCTAGTTGGTAAAACTTGAGCATACCTTAATCCAAAATGTAAGCATGACCTTGGAGAAAAATGAAGGAATTAGGTTCCCTCACTTCAAATTGTATAAAGTTCCTTCTTAATCATTAAGATATATGTTAACTTCTTATTTTTCTCTATAAACGTAATCTATTTCCCAAAGCATCCTAATTCATTTCCCTGGGGAGGGAAGAAAAGAGGGCAGGAAGAAGGACAGGGAAAAGGGAAAGAAGGATAAAGAAGCAGGGAAAGAAGGAAGGAAAGAAAGGAAAAATATCATCTATTTTGTTCCTTTGTAATACCACCTTCCCTTGGCCAGCTTCCTGCAGGAGTATGAAGCCACCTCTGCAGCAACCTGGCTTCCGCCACAGCCTAGGGCAAAGCTTCAAAAAGGAATTGAAACTGTTAGGAAGACTCTGTATCCGTTGTATTTCTCAAAAGTGAATTTAGCAAGATTCACAGACTCACATTCCGCTAATACTTAGCAACTGCCCTCAGGTCAAAAAAATGATCCCAAACAGTTGGGGTGTGAGGCTGATATTTTCTTTGATCAAACACAGCAAGAGATATGCTGTTTCCTTATTTCTTGATACTCTCCGGTCTCATCCACTCCCAATAAGGTAAGCTTAATCTTTGATCAAACACAGCAAGAGACATGCTGTTTCCTTATTTCTTGATACTCTCCAGTCTCATCCACTCCCAATAAGGTAAGCTTAATCCTGTTACACAGTATGGAAGTAGGTTTTCCAAAAGGAATTGTGTTACTATTGATTGCCAGCCAATGAAATTCTCATTGCTCACTACAAGCCTCTAAGATTCTTCTTATGCCACTGCTCTGGGTGACATGGTGGACACCTATGTTCTTTCAGGAGAGGCCACACATTGTAATATAGTCGCTGAAGTTTTTATCTTTTCCTATTAAGCAGGAGTTATTTCATTTCAACAAGCTCCCCCTGGAAAGAGAAAATGACAAGTTAAACGACAGTCTGTCCTGGGCTTTTGGGAGCTCCTATCACAACGACTAGAGTTTCTTCAAGCACAGGCCTCTCTATAGATTAAAACATATATCTTAAGCGCCAATGTTAAAGTTAATGCAAAAGTTCAGAGGTGCAAAATAATTT